CCCATAGAGTTAAAGGTGTTGGCCGTTAGCTGTAAAAATCCATAGATTAGCCGTACCGTTATAAAAGCCGCAGCGTCGAAAAATAGGGAAAAAGGCGCGGCTTATAGTCCGAAAATTACGGTACTTTTCCGGTTATTACTCGTCCCCTTGTGTGTTATGTAGCTTTTTATGCATGTAAACGGTCTGCAAAGTCACAAACCCTCAAAGTACACCCTGTAGCGAGTAAAACACAGGAAAGACCTGTCTATGCTGCCACAGAACGCCGAGTATAGTGACGTAACGATACCTAGGTCCAAATGGAACAATCCGCGGAGCTCCTCACACACACACACACTCACTCAGCCTTATCTTTTCTAAGCCGCGGCTCCGCGGATCTCCACGATGTCTCGCTGTCTCGCAGACCCCACGCAGCAACCAGGAAACGACACCAGTAATCCAGCTCAGGAGCTCCAACAAGCCGTTTAGATGAGAGTGAATACACATACAGTACTATACAGAGATGCTGTATGAGAAACCAATGTTATTTTGGAACATTGAACAATGTAAATCTATTTTTACTGTCAATCTATATCTATCTATAAGTAGACTTCAACAATGGAATTATGATCTGTAGAAATGGCCATGTCATGGGACCTTTAACATATACAGTATATATATATATATATATATATATATATATATATATAGTATATGTATTCGAGCAATCTCAGTGAAAGGATCTGTGTTCCAACGTAGATAAATCGGCTGGCAGCCAAACAGTGGATTCTGTATCATGCTCTCTAAACAAAAATCTCCTCCAATAAGTATATACTAATTCGAATATAGCAACAAGATAGTAGCAGCTATTTATTGCGCAGCGCTGACAAAGTGCAGCATGTATCAAAGAACCAGTCAGAAATAGCAGTGTCTGTTAGAGCGTCTAACTCACTAAAGTAGAATGATATAGTTAGGTAGTTGTTTTGTTTGCATGCATTGCCTCAGCAGCATGGTGGGTGCCCAGTGCACGGAGCAGCCCAGCTGTTGTAAAAGCAAAATCAGGTTATGCCAGCTGGGTTCACAATTCATCGGGTTATGGTAGAATGTCATTATATCATAAGTTATTGGAAGCAGCGGTGGAAGCTACATCAGGAAAAGAGTAAAGAGAGACACAGTGCATGGATGAGGCGTTGTTGAGTCAGGGCTCTGATTAGGGGTCCTCTCAGTCCAAAAGCAGAACACAGTGTCATCTCCCGTAAAACTCATTCACTTCAAGTCCCTTGTGGAACTGGAAAAATATTAACAGTAAGATTTCTAATGAAGACATTTTCATATCTAAAAAAAATGTTTAAATGTTTATAAGGTGTAACATTGAAGTCCATGCAGACTTCTAAATGTATGCACGCTACAAAATGTCAGTATTTGAGTGTGATAATGACTATGAAGGGCACTTTAGAGTTTAACGTTTTTATTTTACACAGTTCTTTCCATTAAAAACTGACCTTTAAATCATTAAAAAAAATAAAAAAATAAGTACTGTAAAGCTATAACTGTTTCCTATAATACTAAGATAATAATAATGAATATCTATAGTCGTCTTGCCCTAGAATATTGATCTGAATCAGACAATGCTTTAGTAAAATAAGTTATCCAGTATTGCCACATGTTGCAGGTTGTATCTTATAAAGTACTCTGGTCCTTGACATAAATGAGTATTTATCATATTTGCAATAGATTTAATAAACTGGGAAAGACAATGATGCAATTCATTGGGGGATTTAGTGTGTCAGTTCATGTCTGTCCCCATGTGTGAATGTGTGGGCGAGGATGCATGTGTGTACATGATTTGGTCTCGGTGAGTGCTGCAGTAAAACAGCAGAGCAGACAAGCGCAGCGTTGGCCCTTGGTGGCACATCAGGGACAGCTGGATGTTGTCAGGCAGCCATAACGCTGATGGAAATGGGCTGATTGCAGCTCAACGGCCCCTCCCTCTTATAAATCAGCTTCACAGCACTCAGGGGGTGGAATACAGCAGCGGCAGGCTGCACCACACCTACTGTACAGAGCAAGAAGCCCTGCAGCAAACCGTATGAGCAAATGTATATTTAACTCATGGCAGATGGATGGGAGATACTGCTTCCAGGTAGTCTTCGAAGTGTCCTAGTTCGATAGTTGAAATACATTCAAGTAATTTGAAAAAGCTTTAATGATACGTTTTTTTCATACTTTTTAAATTGTCATTGTTAAAAAGATCTCTGTAAAAAAGGTTAATATAAATCTTAAATTAAATCCCTCCTGTAATTTGTATGTGTATGTTATGGAATAAATCACACATATGTTATTTTCTAGTTAACGTTCATCCTTTTAAACTATAAAAATATATGTGGCTTTTCCTGAAGACAAGCGCATATTCTGGTAGTATTGCATTTTAGAAGTGCAGTCTTTTCTCTGGGCTTGTTGAATGTGAGCTCCCAGGCATTTACACCACCCACATGGGCTGCACCACTGTCAGACAAATCTGAAATTAGAAATCCAAACTGTAGCGCGCAGCTCAAAAGGCAGTATCATTATAATTAGAAGGCTTTGTCTCCTTAAACCACAGAAATTAAGATGTGAAAGGTCTGAATAGATTGTTTTGGAGCCATAGTGGCTCCAGATTTGATTGACATTTGCACTTTTGAGAATATGACGTTTTTTTTTAAGCACAAATATGACATTGCTTCGGGGTAAAATCATTTGTTATTCAGTGTAGCTAAATCTTTTCGCAGTCAGGAGTAATAAAGGATGTTTTAATGTGCATTAATGCAGCCACACACAGCTCAATGTGATGCATACAGCATGAGCAAATAAACAATCTAACAATTTGTGCCATGTGAAGGAAATGGTGAAAAATGCTTCACATTTCTATAGATTTACTATCCCTCAATCACATGACAGAAAAATAATACCCTAATTAGCACCAGCAATAATCTGTCAGTCACTGCTGACCTTTTAACAAAGTTTAATCAAATTAATTGTGCTGAGAAATTACTGGGTGTCAAGGGGCTTCAGACAGCGAGCAAAAGTAAAAGGAATACACTTCTTCAGTTGGCAAGCTAATTGGTATTGTGCATATGTTTGCTTTGCATGCAAGTCAGGTTTAGTCAATGATTGTCTAAAGCGACATCATTACCTATGTTATTGAGGGATTTTAAAATCAGAAAACAATATGCAGATTTGTTTAAAGGTTTAAAGAAATACGAGGCTTACCTCAACAGAAAATCAAATACACTCTAAAAACGAATTGAGGCGACCTTTCACCTCCACTTAATTAAATGCATGGTTGCAAGATAAAAATGTGAGTTCATTGATTTAGATAAACATTTTAAGTTGCAAACATTAATTTATAAGTTGTGTTGACGTAATAATGTTGGTAATTACATCAACTTAATATTGTGTGTAATTTGAACTCTGATTTCTGCGTTAATTGACTTGACTAAATTCAAGTTGTAGTAAGTAATGCAATTGGCTTGATAACTTCATTGTTCTACACCTTGAGTTAAGGATTTCAAGTCCACTCCCACTTAACATGCCTGGACAAGTTCCGACAGTTAAGACAAATAGAAATACTATACAAAGGACATTTTAAGGTGAGTGTCATCTTTTGTCATTCAAATACAGTAGATAGCCTTGTAGTTGCACTGTATAGGCAAATTGCTGTTTGACCAAAATGAGCAGCCTTTGAACTGTGAATAGTTCTGTGAGAGGACACAAAGTAGTAGAGGCTACTGTGAGAGTAAAAATACTTTGGTTACTATTGTGATATCGCTTTTTATTAAAAATGAATCTCGGTGAAGCAGATCAAGGACTTGCTTCTTGAGGTAGGATCGTTATTTAGAGTTGTCATTGAAATGCAAGTTGTTGGCAGTCACAGAATATATTAATTTAGGTAATTTCTCTTTTTTTCCTTTTTCAAAAATAGCACAAAACAATTGAAGTACGCAGAGAACTATAGCCATCCGCTGCCTTGTCGTGTACCTTGGAGAAAAGGAAGAGGACCTTTTCAAGGAGTTTAGCGACGNATTTCACTTCTTTCTTTCAGAACGAGGTGAAAAGTATTAAAAGGGGTGAACCCTTGTGTGTGTGTGTACAGCTCTCAACATGCCCAGACTTGGAGTGATTTTCACCCCTTTTAATACTTTTCACCTCGTTCTGAAAGAAAGAAGTGAAATGTTCCAACGTGACGGCCGTCTGGGTGTGTGGTGCGAGATGGGAGATGTAGTTCATTGAGCGGTTTCACACAAAAAAGTGTTACTTCAAAGTTTTACCACACATTTTTATTTTTTTGACTTTCAAAATTATCTTTTAGATTGACAAACATCATATGTGTAATTCGTGGCACAATTCAAACGGGATCGAAAGATACGTTTCTCTCTCCATTGACTTCAATACAAACTTTTTCAGAAATAAGGTCCCATGGAGCTCCCCGGAAAGGGAGGGACTTCACCTCTCTATAGTCCTTTTACAGTCCAATGTTGTCAGTAAATGCATCTGATAAATAATGATTGAATATATTAGTATCTACATATTCAAACACAGTACATTCACACGGTTACTGTGTCCTGCTTTACATGTGTTGACTACGATTCATCCAAATGATTCATATTCAGGTATAAAAGTTTACTGCTTGTCCTGTTGAAGATAAATATATATAGAGAGAATGGCGATGCTTCAGAATATATGATGCAGCATGTTTCTTTGATCAAATGAACTTTTTAATAGTTCACTGTGGTGTTTTTCAACATTTGATTTGATCATTTGTGAACTTCTTTTTTTCTTTCAAGCCATCGTTTGACGTAATTTCTAAACCAACAGATATAGCTGGCAGTGTGCCTCCGGTAGCAGGAAATCAAGCAACAATGCACATGCCGCAAGCAAGTAGCAGCAAATATATTTTAAAAAATGGACACCTACCTACATTCATGAATGACGGGTGATTTAGACTCTAGTCTGTGGAAATGATTATAATTGTTTCAAGTTAATACAATCTATATTTGTTTAGGGAAATAGCCTAATTTAAGTAAGATGATACATACTTAATCACGTTGTTAAAGGATTGGGCCCATTTTTGTGTTCGTAAGGGCAAAGGCTCCTTCAGACATTAACCAACCACCTCTTGCAGCATGTGCTTGAGATTCACTCAGTTGTCTTTGTTTTTTATGACTTAAGCAAAGTTACATTTAATACAATTGGACTGTAGGGATGTTTTTGCTGTTACCTATTTCCTCCATACTCAACAGCTTCCCCGTGGTGGTGGGCAAGGCGGTTTGAGCAGGAACTCCATGCTGGCGTAGAAAGGACAAGGCAAAGGTCTGAACCTCCAGCTTAGTGGCATTTTTGCTGCCTTCTGAGTTCATGATCTTCAGGACATACTTGGTACCCTCGGTGTCCACAATGAGGAAGTTCTGGTCAATATAACTAGGCAGGGTGGAGATCTCAGTCATGGTCACTCCATAAAGTTGCACTGTCAGTTCAGTTGCCTGCTGCGGGGTGAGCGTTGGCCTTCTTTCTGCACATAAGAGTAAAATAGCAACACAATTTTGTACATGCTTTTGATGACCTGCAAATGTGCCAACGTTCACACCAGAAACATTTGTTTGAGTTTGTCATAAGAGGTTCCAGCAGGGCCGCCCCTCCCGACACGCAGAGGACGCAGACTGTGTGGGGCCTCACCTTGCGGAGGGGGCCTCATCGTATGCGGCAACAGTAATACAAATAGCTGAAGATGTAATAAACTAATAATTCTTATTCTTATTCTTGAAATCAATGTGGTGCATGTCTTTGACGTGCCTTTAAAAACGGTGGCGGTCTTTAGATGCTCCTCCAGCCCAGTGTGCAGGGAGGAAACAAAATCCACCAATCCCCTGAATGTGCCAGGGTTGACTGAAGAGCCAGCCTCGTCACGCCCACGCAAAGCCAACTCAAAAGCCTCACAAAACTTCATTATTTTGGATAACGGAAACGAAGAGGTTCATATTAATCGCAATAAGAAGAAAGATTGATGAAGAAGAAGAAGAAGAAGTTACGATTGAAGGGGTGCTTTATAACTGTTTTCTGTTGAGCGGATTATCACGAGTTGATTTAGGTATCATAAATTAAATTTCACGAAATTTGCTCCATTCAATGCTTACATACAAGAGTTAGCAGTACACACCCCGTAACTTATAAGTTGAATCAAATCTACTAACCGGGTCCCCCCTGTAAGTAAACGTTTAGAGACACCTTTTGTTAATACTTTAGTTGATTATTCTTGATCTGATGATGTCTATCGTGGTGTGTACTACCATTGAAAAATAATAAAAATCCCACTTGGACGATACCCTAGTCCAAAAACGGTTTCGTCTCGGGAAAATGATAGTAATTTTATTATTATACATGCTAATACATAAATATAGTTGGTCATAAAACCATTGTTATCGCTGTAGATCATCTACCCTAATACGCTTGAGATCGTCTGTTTGGTCCTGAATAAACTATACCAAATGAGTTTCTGGTATAACCGACTTCCACAAAATAGGTTATAATGTATAACTCGCTCAATATATATAATCAGTGTAAAGAATACTTTGCGGTCCAAAGAATCTGGAACTCAAACCTTGTAAGTTAGGACTTTTATTAACAAGAAATTAAGGACTGTAACTGATCTCGATCCTACCCATTAAATTTTAGCATATCCTTCTACTCAATTCACTAAATCTCCTCTTTTCAAAATACCATATGTATGTCTCGGACCAGGCAAAAGTATTTATACTAGCTATCTAGTTAAATCCAGACATTGGTTTCACGTCGGTAGGTATAGATAGTATGATATGATGACTAGACTACAATTCCCTTTGAAGACGGTCGTTAACCTCTTCAGTACTGAGTCTCGCTCTGTGCTCCCTCTCGAACCTCGGAAACTACAGTCTTGTTACTACAATAATGTTCAGTTGCCGGGCCCCTTTAAGTAGTAGTGTTCGAGTGGTCGGTCGTTTCCAAGACTGTAACGTGCCCACCTCCAACAGTACAGTAGACTAGTCCGGATAGAAGAGCTATTGGAAAAATTGATCAAATGTCCTCTTCATTGCATGTATACCCCGCAATGTGGACCCTGTGACTTAGTGAATAGACTGAAGAATCTCGGAGACACTGGGCTCTCAACCTGGCCAATATTTTGACCATTACAATTGTTATCGACTCTGAAGGGTAAGGAATTGTGTTGTAGTAGTTGTTTGAATCCCAACCAGCATTTGCAGTTGTGTGTCTTATTCCAATTTATAGAATCCTCATTCCTTCTTAAGTTATAGAAACTGTGAATCCTCATTCCTGTCTTTATAGGGGAATGTAGATAATAATTTCTAGTCTTCTTTTCTTTTGTCTTGCTCTCACAAAATCTCATTCTCTTGTTCCTAAAAACCTTTCGATTTGTAAGTTGGACCTTTCCATATCGTCACTTTTGTAATTGAAGTAGTTTTTCACAGAGTAAAGGGAAACTTATTACACACATTCCCAACGTTGATCCTGAAAAAGCGATGAGCAGTCCTGTCCTGCTCTGTCCTAGCAATTTTAAGGACAGTTTTTAGGTCATAATGGGCAGTCGGGAAATGTGTTGAGACCCCCCCTCCCCCCTTGGACAGTCAGAACAAGTTTTCGGAAAACTATCCCGCAGCGGGGAGGGATTTGGTGTGTGTATTTGTAATAATAATTATTATTATTATTTTATGAGTAAAATTAATATATTTAACCAGTTATAAACACACAAATTTTAACCTTACGTAGGTCTTTATACACATTTTATACTAAATTTTATTAAACGCCGTTGATATACGAAAAGGTTTAAGGATCAATGTGACATACTGACTCCATCCCCGCTACCTTTTCAGCGGGGTGCCTTCCGCCCAGAAACATCGTCAATCGTTAACGACTAAGTTCCTATACTTGCACACCAATATTTTATATCGGTTAGTCGGCAGGAGTTCTTGACGAGGGCCTCGCCGCCTATAATATAGTCGGGTTCATCGTTGACGATGCGTCGACCTGCTGCCGGTGTCCTAACGCCCCTTTTGTGTTACTCCTCCACCTATTTTGT